AATAAAAGCAAAGTCATAAAGGCTTTGTTTCATGCTTTTATATCTTACCACTCTCATGAGCAAAATTTAAAATATTAATAATATTAATACATATCTGTAACACCTTGTTTCTTTTTTCCCTTTCCTTTAAAACGTTTTCTTATCTGTCTTCCCCAGATTTTGCTCTCTGAGCCATTTTCTAAGAAGAGGTTGTGGGGAGGAAAGGTAGTGAGTATTTAGATTAGAATCCCCTTTGCTGAACAGAGCCACATGACTTCTACAGACCCTAGGCACTTTTTTTTTTCAGCAGAGTCTCATTCTATCACCCAGGCTAGAGTGTAGTGAGTGCAGTGGCACGATCTCGGCTCACTGCAACCTCCGCCTTCGGGGTTCAAGCAATTCTCCTGCCTCAGCCTCCTGAGTAGCTGGGATTATAGGTGTGCGCCACCAAGCCTGGCTAATTTTTGTATTTTTAGGAGCGACATGCCAGTCCAATCCCAATTCAGGAAGTGGTGTAAGTGTAATAATAAACGGTGATGATTACCGGATGCCAGGCGTGGTATACCAAGCATTTACATATTTTATTCCTGTTATATCTTACATTATTAGCCCCTGTGTGTGAGCGCCCAGTGTGTGATGGGTGCTCAGTAAATGTTGGATTAACCTTACACAGGCCAGAGAGGAGCAAAGGCCGAGACTATGGTGTGGAAGGGCAGGGGTGATGGTGGATTGGGCTGGGGCTGTGTGCTGAGGAAGGGCTGGGTGCTGAGACCAGCTTGGTCGTAGAGACCCCAACCCAGTGGTGCTGAAGGAATTAAGCAGATACACAGATAGAGTGCAAAATTGGGAAACAGAGTGAAGCGTCAGGGGACTGACAGCATTTCCCAGCTGAAAGCCCAGAGCAGACTCTGACCCACGTATTTATTCTTTGTGAACAAGTGATTATTTTTAATAAGCAGGTGCTCAGTGTTTCTTCATAGAATAAAGATAGGCTAAACAGGCAGATAGTGCCTGTTCACTACTAAAATAGAAATAAGCTAGAAAGCACTCTTTGCAAGTCAGCAATAGGGACAAAGTCATACATCCAGTGTTTGGGGAACTGGTTTAACTAGTGCATGACCAGTACATATTTCTTACTTGTTCTAGCAGTTTTCTGCCTGGGGATAGTTCAGTGTTTCTTGCCATTGCCTCTCAGCAAACAACATGTACTCCACCACACACACATCAAGACCTTCTCCCAACAGCTTTTCCCATTTTTTTTTTATTTTTTTTTTTTTTTTTTTTTTTTTTTTTTTTTGCGCAAAGCTAGGTAAGCAAGCACAGCTTTATCTTGGTGAACTATTTCTCGGAGGATTTAGAATCTGCACCTGCAGACTACACAAAGAGAAATAAGACAAATTAATAACACAATCATAACAGCAATCAGAGATCCTCCAAGTGTTTTTACCCAGGTCACTGGATTTAGGACTGCTAATCCATCAGCAGCTCCCTCAAGCAATTCCATTCCCAGAATTAAAGTTAAATGTGCTTGAGAAGCCTGAAAATCTTGCTCTTTTAATTTAGCTATATCCAAAGATAAGTTTCCAGCATGCCTTTCCATGTGACGCTTTATTTTTTCCCAATTGTGCTCAGCTTCCTTGTAAGGATAAGGAGTAATACAATAATCAGAAGTATTCCAATCACACTATAATTGAATTCTATATTCTAAACTAACTACTCTGTCCCCTAACCAGGCTGCTTCCCTAAGATCATTAATCTAATTAGCTATATTCTGATGTATCTTTGTTTGAGAATGCCACAGCAGGGTGGAGTTCTTTTGCTTATTGTTGACAAACTCAGCAGTTTGTACGAAGGCTTGCAAGGCTGCTCCGGCCACAGTTGTGGTGGCTGTGACTGCAATCAGACCCACAATAATTAAAATTAAAGTTGCAATAAATCTTCGGCTACATTTTAAAACCTTTTGTATAATTTCAGTAAGAATATGCACTGAGGGAGATGCTTCCCAGGGACAAGACAGGTTTACAGGTAGGTTTACAGGTAGCCATATTCCTCTCAAGCTCTAATAGCATAGAGTTGTGGGAGTTAAACGTAGAAGCATTAACACACAAGAAAATAATTTACAATATTGTCATGTCACTTTGGAGTTAATAAAATAAATCTGTAACTTTCCCACCACCAAAAGATGAGGGGGTTTAACACAACTCTGTATCCAAAGAGTTTTATTTTTTACAATTTTGAATGAATAATAATTACTGGAACAGGATCTAGTATAGTTTCCTTTCAAGACCTCTGTTGTTTTTAGGGCCATAAGTATTTTCCAAAGTTCTTTTTGTTCAGTTCCCATTGTCAGCCAAACCATTCTTGGCCTAGGTTTTGTTATGCCCCCAATTCTTCAAACAATAGTAGTGTTTGGTTTTGACTCGGAACTGTTATTATTTTTTGTGTACCACGTAATTGACTCTGTGTCATGACAAAAGGGCTGATTGATGCAATTAATGCTAGATATCCCCTTAGGGGACCAGTCAATAATAATTCCATCATTGCACAGCACCTCAGCCTCTGCCGTGACACAATCTTCCCTGGTTAATATTTTTAACTTAAAGGACCATTCTTTATTTTGTCTACATTCAGGTTTGGGTGGGCGAAACACGTTGTTTTATTTCCCAAATTATGGTAAGAAATACCCAGGCCAGAAATCATATGCAACTGAGCACAAGTGTGATTTTTTCCAGGTACTATGGCTAGCCATGCCTGAATTTTTTATTGTAAACATCCTTTAGCTGCTGCTAGGCATATACGTAGATGTTCAAAACCGAGAGGGATATTCGTCAAAATACATTCTTCTTGAGGATGAGACGAGCCTTGATTAACTATCGGCTCCGGCACCCACAAGCTATCATTAGTGTATACATCTACGGGGCGATCTAACCATGTCATAGGTTGCAACAGAGGAGGGAAAGGAATATATGCCCAATATGTGAAATTTCGTTTCACTTCTGTAATTAAGTAAAGCAGAGGGAGTGGAGAAGGAACAAAGAAATCTTTAACTGGTTGTGGTTAATTAGTAGTAACACCACCGCACTCGGACCAGCTGACGTTCTGCCTTCACACTGTCAAATGCTAGCAACTGCGGTACTGTGTCCTGAGCTTCGGTGTCTGCAATTGACTTTCTGATGGCTTCTTGTAATCTAGCTATAAAGTCTGCTTACGGCTCCTTTGGTCCTTGTCTCACTGCACTAAAGGATGGAAATTTTTCACCTCCCATTGTAATCTTTTCCCAAGCTCTTAAACACGATTTCCTAATCTGCTCTATGGCTAAATCAGCCATAGTGGCCTGTGCTTGTAAAAGACCCTATGCATCAATTCCTGTGAGCTGTTCCATGGTAATATTAATTGGAGGCTGAGCATTGGCATTCATACTAGCTTGAATATCAGCCTTATCAGCCCACCGGGTCTTAAATTGTAAGAATTGAGAAGGAGGCAGGCAAGCTCAAGTTAACGTGCCCCAGTCAGCAGGAATTAATCTATGAGAGGTGGCCACATTTTTTTTTCTTTTTTTCTTTTTATTGTACTTTAGGTTCTGGGGTGCATGTGCAGATCATGCAGGATTGTTGCATAGGTACATACATGGCAAGGTGGTTTGCTGCCTTCATCCCCCCATCACCTGTATCTGGTATTCCTCCCCCTGTTATTTTTCAACAGTCCCATAACAAACGGAGATCCCAGGTCATATTGACTAATGGATTGTTTAAATTCTTTTAAAAGTTTAAATGGAAAAGGCTCAAATGTTACCTGCAACTGTCCTTGTTGATTTTGAGGGTGTATTATAACAGAAAACTGCCAAGCCTCTAAATCTTTGTCTTTACCAGCTGCTGAATTCCAGCCTGAAGAGACCCATTACTGCTCTTCTAGTTTCACTTTCAAAACAGCCTCTGATTCCTCTGGGAAATGTCAGGTGGATCTGGCCACTCTTTGATGAAATATTGAGGAGGCGCTGATGGACAAACTCCTTCTTTTTCCTCATTTAGTCTTTCTTTTTTCTTAACTGGGTTATCTTTAATTTCTTCATCCCAATTATACTCTCCTTCTTCCCCTGAATCTTCCTCCTTATCATCAGTTTGAAATGGCTCTACTGCTGAATGCACCATTGCCCAAACTGACTATACTGGGATTGGAATATCCTCAGTTCCTTCTTTATATGCCTTTTTAAAAGTAGTATCCACTTTTTCCCATTCTTCTATGTCTAGAGTTCCCTGCTCAGGAAACCAGGGATAATATTTTTCAACTGCATTAAAAAGCTGTGTTATGCAGCTAATACTAACTTTAACTCCTCCTCTAAGCAAATAATGAAGCAAGCTAAGATAGACTTTGCGTTTGCTTGAAACTTGTCCCATTGTGACCCTGACCTTCTGAGCTCTCCCAACTTACGCTGGGAGATTTTTTTCAAGAGTTCTCGGGTGTCCTTCAGCTTAGATTAGCTGCCTCTTTCTCTGTCGCTCAGGTGACCTTTTGTCCTGGGTTCGAGCCCCACATTTGGGCACCACTTGCCAAGACCAGCTCAGTCGTAGAGACCCCAACCCAGGTGGCACTGAAGGAATTAAGAAACAGAAACACGATAGAGTGCAAAATTGGGAAACAGAGTGGAGCCTCAGGGGACTGACAGCATTTCCCAGCTGAAAGCCCAGAGCAGACTCTGACCCACGCATTTATTCTCTGTGAACAAGTGATTATTTTTAATAAGCAGGTGCTCAGTATTTCTTCATAAAATAAAGATAAGCTAAACAGGCAGATAGTGCCTGTTCACTACTAAAATAGAAATAAGCTAGAAAGCACTCTTTGCAAGTCAGCAATGGGGACAAGGTCATACATCCTGTGTTTGGGGAACTGGTTTAACTAGTGCATGACTGGTACATATTGCTTACTTGTTCTATCAGTTTTCTGCCTGGGGATAGTTCAGTGTTTCTTGCCATTGCCTCTCAGCAAACAACATGTACTCCACCACACACACATCAAGACCTTCCCAACAGCTGGGGCTGTCTCATTCCTGAGCCCCAGGATGCAGCCAGGCCTCAGGAGTGAGACAAACCTTGACAAAATGTGCCCTAGACAAGCTCTGCATATTCTCCCAGAGCCTTGGCTTCCTCTACGGAAAGGAAATAACAATGCTGATTTGGATAAGCACTAGGTAGTGATGATCGTGGGTTCATTCCTCTGCCTGACATCCATCACATAAACAATTTCCTGCTGGAATAGGAGCAGAGGCTGTTTTTAAATCATCATTCCCTTTTCCTGCTGCACTGCCAGACAGGCAGCTGTCACAGAACCAAAATGGAGTTCAGCAAATACAGAAGAATGCAGAGCAGGTGTGACCCTCAAGAAAACCTTGCCACTCCAGGTAACTTTGAATAACAGGAAGGAAGCATCTGTGATCCTAGAAGTATTTAAAAAACAAGCATTAAAAATGGTCCCATTCCTCAAAAAGGTAAGAAGGAGAAATAACAATGTTTTTTTATTAACAGGAAGTTGCACAGTTCAGATATGAATGGGTTGGTACAGAAGGCTTTGGATGCATCAAATGTCTATGAAAATATTGTCAATTATGTTAGTGAAGCCAACGAAACAGCAGAATTTGCTTTGAACACCACCGACCGAATTTATGATGTGAGTATTCCCTTAAAGTTCATTTACACTTTGCCTTTTCCACTTTATGACTTCTCTGCTTTCCCATGTCATCTCTTGAACTTCCAGTGTGAAATACCAATGGCAGAAAGAGTGGAAAGGGCAGGGGAACTAAGGAAAGACCATTTCATGAAGGCCATCAAGGTTTCAGTCTGCAGGTTCTTCAAGATGTGCTGTACTCCCGTCACCAAATGCCATTTTCTTTGACAGCTTGGTTTTTTCAGTCGAAGTCCCTGAAAAAAAAAAAAAAAATATATATATATATATATATATATATATTTAAAATTAGTTTCTGCTGATAGAGAAGTTGTGTTATGCATGCATTTAGATTTTTTCAACTCAAAATTATTTATTGCATGGCTTCTATGTGACAAGCCTTGGCCAGGGCTTTGGTCTAGGTTCACTTAATCTTTCCAAAAAAAAAAAATTACCTTGAAAATGCCAAAGACATTGCTTTCTCATGGTAACATTTATATCTGACCTTAATTCTGAGCTGTGAAAATGAAGCTGAATGAATTTTGCTTGGTGTTTAGCAGATAAACTGTGTCATTTAAATCCTACAACCATGAATAGCTTATTTCTTCTGCTGTCATTTTTACTCTCTCCTCCCAATTCCTTTGTAGGCGGTGAGTGGGATTGATACTCAAATCATTTACCATAAAGATGAAAGCGAGAACCTCCTCAATCAAGCCAGAGAACTGCAAGCAAAGGCAGAGTCTAGTAAATATCTTCACTTTCCTATCTCCCTTCTAACGTACACCTGCTTCCGTCCTTTCATACATGTAGACAGAGATTTCCAAAATCTAAGATTAAAGAATAAATAATAACTAAATAACATATCAACAGTTCCTGCTCAGAGTTAAGTTATAAAAGAGTAAAGATTTGAAACTTAAAATTGTGATTTTAAACAACTGCCAAGTAGTAAACTACATGGAAACATACGGCTATCTTACCTATTGCTGATATTCCTGCTAATCAAATAGGCTGATTAGTAGACACTTACCATAAATACCAATTTTTAAGGGGAAATGTCATAAAATACGCTTAACACTAAAACTATATAGTACAGAATTTCCTCTTTCTTGAACAATTCAGAAGGCCTTTTAAAATGTTTCCCATGAAGGAATGGATCGCCACTATTAAGTCAATTAGGATGACAGGGTACCACGAAACCATCTGGTTATTTGCATTTTTTTTTTTTTGTGGTTTGCAGTCTACACAGTTTACTGTATTTATGACAGACCTAATGACCATATGGAAGGAAGTTTTTCCAAAGGCCAATGTTTGCACCTGATAAAGCGTGCACATCCGAGAGTGAGGGAGGGAAGAAAAAATAAAAGCAAAATCACATTAGATAATTTTGAATCTTGTGAGTTACTCTTAAAAACAATTGAATGGACTAAAAACATTATTCATCTCTGAGATAATGAACTAATTCCTAAGGATTTTTGAACATTGACTAATGAGGTTGGAAATTCTTCATCTAGCGAACTTCTAACTACCACCTAAAAACAAAAGCCAAGTTTTAAAACAAAAACCTCACCCAATTTTGTCAAAGTAATTAATCTCATTTAATCATGTATATTCTTTTCTTTTGCAAAGAGCCATTATATAGAGAAGATAAATGCACTTTGCTTTCATACGCAGATACTTAACTATTTATTTCCCGTAAAACAACTGTTATTTTATTTTTGTGGGTGAACAAAGGCAATAAAAAGTGCCATTGTTTCTCTATTCTAATTATTACATGTCTAATTAATTTATTATGTAAGTCTATCATGAACATACTCTCTGGAAAATATTTAGAATATCGGTGGTGAAGAATTAGAATATTAACAGTAAAATATTTCTAAATAAATGTTGCTATATCTATGTATTGCTTTTGTTTCTTGTGTTGTAAAGACCAGAATGTGTCAGTCATCATGACACAGTGACTTAAATATTTTATTTTATTTTTTGATAACTTGTAATATAGTCTCTCATTATTGAGTTATTGTCATTATTGAGTTATGGAACCTCATAAAAAACACTTTACTATTTTGGGAATGACATCCCTTCAAAGTTCCATATTTTATGTCTGATAAATCTCTCTGCATAAGCCTGTTTGACTATTTTGCAGACCTTTTCTCCTATATCATGATCTCATTTGGCCAAATCCCTTCATGTACTTATTTGCAAAAGGAACAACAATAAGGAGTTAGTGCTGTGTGGCTTAGAACTTCATAGGACTTTCAGGGCTGGGCGCGGTGGCTCATGCCTGTAATCCCAGCACTTTGGGAGGCCAAGGGGGCCAGATCACAAGGTCAGGAAATCAAGACCACCCTGGCCAACATGGTGAAATCCCGTCTCTACTAAAAATACAAAAATTAACCAGGCGGGGAGGTGAGCACCAGTAGTCCCAGCTACCCGGAGGCTGAGGCAGGAGAATTGCTTGAACCTGGGAGAGGCTGCAGTGAGCCAAGATCGTGCCACTTAGCTCCAGCCTGGGTGACAAAGTGAGACTCTGTATCAAAAAAAAAAAAAAAAAAATTTATAGGATTGTCTTCCCTTGAAAATACACACATTTGTGATGTACATTCAAGTTTTCAAATTAAACCAAGGTCATCTGCTAAATGACGTTATCATTTCAGATTAGCTTTTCTTCATTTCCAAATTCCTTTCAATGATCAGTAATCTTTATTTCCCAATTTTCCTTTTCATTATATATATCACATAGTTGATAATCAATATAATCTCAGGAAGCTGCTATTTAAATGAATCTTCTACTTAACTCTTTGAAAAATGAAGAGTATTTACGTAAGACAGTAAATTCCAAATAGAACACACTTCTTTTGAAATATTTCTTCTTATAAACATAAAGCCCAAAATAGACTTTCTTTCTCTTTTTTGTATCAAGAGCTCCAAATATAGAGTTAAATATATTCTTTCTCAGTATGTCGGCCAGTACTTTTTTGTTTTTGCAGTCATGAGACCCAAAAATAAGAGCTACAACATTGTTCGTATTCTAATGTTTGGAAACTGAAACTTGAAAGAGGAAGGAGTCAGGGTGCGATACAAATTCTCCACACTATCCAGAGAAAATGCAAAAGAAGTGCTCGTGTTTGGTTAACTGTACTTCGTGACAACACCACCCATTATACACATATTTGGGGGGAAAAGATAATAATAAACCAAACACATTAAGACTACATATTAGAAAAGAAAAAGAGTGCCATCAGAGAGTGTAGCTTTACAATCCCATTGGAAAGAAGGAGAAAAGTGTAATTAGAAGTGATAAAACTATTTGGCTGTTTGTTAAGAAACAAAATTTTTGTGCTTTGGAATTAAACGAAGCACAAACAGAAGCAAAGAATTACTGGCAAAGTTGATCCTTTAGTTCAGATGATGAGATAATTACATCCTGACCTGATGGAATTTGCTCAAGGATAACCCCAGTTTAGCGACTGTGCCACAAGCACTCTTTAATAACAATTTTGTAAGCAAAAGACTCCCAGAACTGAGGCAAATAGGAAATCTAATAGAACTGTTTGTACATACGTATGTATAATAAATTTAACCATCCATTGATCCCTACCCACAAAGAAATCTCAAGACTCAGATGGCTTCCCCAGTGAATTCTTAAACATTTAAAAAAGAAATAACACCACTCTCACACAAACTCTTCTAGAAAACAGAAAACTAGAAAGCACTCTCCAACTTGATTTATGAAGCCAACAAATCTTGGTTACCTGAATCACACAAGGATATTATTAAAAAGGAAAATTATAAGCCAAATTCTCTTACAAAAGGGATGCAAAAATTCTAATTAAGATATTAGCAAATCAAATCTAGCACATATATAAAGCACAATATATGATGTCCAACTTGAGTTTATTTTAGGATTTCAAGAATAGTTTAACATTTAAAATATCAATTGTAATTTGTCACATTTATAGAATACAGTGAAATTCGTATGATCATCTAACTACATGTAGAAAAACTATTTAACAAACTTGATACCCATTTTAAAAAAGACTCAGCAAACTTAGAAACTTTCATAATCTGAAAAATAAAATAATATTCAGCAAATATATTAAAATGGAAATGAACGCTTTTCTACTGACATTAGAAACAATACAATGACACCCTACATTACCAATTCAATGTGTAAAAATCAGCTTAATTTTATATGCAACAATGGGAAATTAACTTTTTAAAATAACAGTGTTTTCAATAGCATCAAATAAATAGGAATAAATTTGATAAAAGAGACTAAGTTTGCTACACATAAAGATCCAGATAAATGATCTAAACAAGAATTTATATGTAAATAATAAATAAATATAATATTCATTGAGTAGAAGACTCAAATTTGTAAAGATGACAATTCTCCCATATTCATCTACAGATTCAATTTAGTATTGATTGAAGTACCTGAACTGAATATTCTAGAATTTATATGGAAATGAGAGGGGAAAGCCAATAATAGCCAAGACAGTCGAATAATAAAACCAAAGCTGGAAGACAAACTACATTATCAAGATGTATTATAGCTCTATACAGAAATTATCACAGTTATAAAAGATTATAATACTATATCCACTTTTTTAAATAGTGTTTAAAAACAGACACAGCCAACAGATGGAGATAGAATTCAAAATGGTGATCATCTTCGGGTCAGCACACGGGCTCTAGGGAGCTTTGAAGGTGGTAATGTTTCTATTTTCTTGACCTGGATGCTGGTTATATTTGGTGTTCATTTTGTGAAAATTTGTCAAGCTGTGCACTTATAAAGGATGGCTTTTTCTAGATGTATGTTATATAGCAATTAAAATTTTATTGAAACAAATAAGAAAGCAAGAATTATTCTTATCACCAGTCATTATCATATATATGTAGAGAGAGAGAGAGATTTTTTTTTTTCAGCTCGTTAACAATTGTGCTGCTTGGTGTTATTAGTCACAGCAGGGCTATATGTTTCCATCAAAGAAATTAACCATTATGGCATCCCAAGTCACTCACAAGCAGTATTACAAGTGTTCTGCAATTCTGTACTTCGAATTTTAAATGCTACTTTCCAGAATTGTTGATCTATGTTTAGAGTGTTCAGAATACTGCAAACACTGCAGATGACTCCATCCTACAAAAGAGAAGTTTCCTTGTTGAAAAGAAAACCTTTCGAGGCATCTTGGCTCCACTTCTTTCTGCTCCTTCTCTACAGGCAGTGATGTGGCGGTGGCTGACACTAGTAAGCGTGTGGGTGGAGCCCTAGCAAGGAAAAGTGCCCTTAAAACCAGACTCAATGATGCCATTAAGCGACTACAAGCAGCAGAGAGAGGTAAGCATTGTAAGAGAGAATTGAAGTCCCATCTGTTGGTTCACTGGAGTGTAAGATAAACCTTCAAGGAAGGATTAGGTGATTGTTTATTGTCAATGTTTTTAGACATAAATGTTCTTTTCTGATGACAAAATAACTTGTGTTCATCACCAAAAAAATTGATATAGAAAATAAAAAGAAGAAAATAAATATAAATGCTGTAATCACACCACCTAGAGGTGACCTTTATATTTGAGAGCCTTTTTTTTCCAGCATTTCCTCTGTGTGTGTGTGTCTGTGTGTGTGCATGCTTGTGTGTGTGTCTTTTAATGAGATCAATGAGATCAAGCTGTTTATAGTGTTTAATAATGGCTTTCTTATGAACATCCTTCCTTATAACAATATGCCTTTATTTGGTTATTGGATTTCTTTGGCCCCAGCTGTAAACAGCTTTCCTCTGTTACATGTTGAGTCATTCTTATTACATAAACAGCAGGTCCAAACGGAGACCAAATAGAGACCAAGGAGACCAACAAGCTCAAGTAGAGAAACAAAAGCACACGTTTTCCTTAATCTGGGACTGCAGTGGTATCTTAAATTGATGTGATTGGAAGCAAATGTGCATTCCTCAGCACAGTGAAAGTTAAAATACTAGTGCAGCATATGGGTGTTTTATTGGAATGAGTGAATCCTAGCTACAGTGCTACAGTGCACCAAAGCTCTGGCCAGCCGAGTGGTCCTTCACAAAGAAATTTCATCATCAGCATTGTCAGAGTTGCTGTTTATTGATGCTTAATATGAGCTTGGCAGTGTCCTAAGTGTTCAACATACCTGTATTAGTCCATTCTCATGCTGCTATGAAGAAATACCCAAGACTGGGTTATTCATAAAAAAAGAGTTTTTATTGACTAACAGTTCTGCATGGCTGGAGAGGCCTCAGGAAACCTACCATCATCATAGAAAGCACCTCTTTACAGTGTGGCAGGACAGAGAATGATTGCTGAGCAAAGGGGAAATGCCAGACACTTATAAAACCATCAGATCTTGTGAGAACTCACTATTGCAAGAATAGCATGAGGAAAACCGCCCCCATGATTCAATTATCTCCCACCGGTCCCTCCCATGACTGGTGGGGATTATGGAGATTACAATTCAAGATGAGATTTGGGTGGGAGCACAGCCAACCATATTAATACCTTATGTCATGGGGATAAGTGCCACTACTGCCTTCAGGCTAATATGAACTCTGAAGTTCATCAATGTTAGAGAACTTGCTGCAACAGGCACAGCCAATAAGAAGCAGATTCAGGATTCAAATCAGCATTTATCAGAATCCAGAGTGTGTGAGGTTAAATGAAAGGTACCCTCACCTTAATAAATTATTGTGTATACATTATTAAATTAATTATGTATGACTTGTATAATAAAAATAATTCTAATTTACTTAGGTAATGGTATAACTTCAAATTTATAATTATTTTATAGTTCTAATTATTTTACAGTTGGGGCCAAAGAAATTCAATAACTAAATTAGGGCATAACTTCAAATTTATAAAATTTGAAGTTATAAGATCACCTAAGTGAATTCTAATTGTTTTTACTATAAAAAAATAATTCTTATAGAAAAATTAGAAAATATAGATAAGAAACAAGAAGAAAATCACCTATAATCCCATCCCCTAAACAAAATTTTTTGTTGTAAACTTACATCATGGTTATTTTAAAGATGTAATTTTTTAACAAAAATTGGAATTCACCAATAAAACTCTTTGAAATTTGCTTTTTTTCTACTAAAAAAATACCTTTCTTTATGGATCAACTTCTATAGCATCATTTTTATGGCATAAGTGTTCCACAAGCCCACTTTTTCATAAAAGAAAGTGATATTTGCAATTAATTTCAGACACAAACCTCTTATGAGTTAAAATCTCATGTGCATTTTCTATGGCTTTCTGACCAGCTTATAGGAAATATTTATTGTAAGGTTTATCGCTGAGTTTAAAATGAGGAAACTGAGGCCAATATAAGAAAATGAAAATCCAGTTTATTCAGCTCCCAGGCAAGGTTCCATGGTCCCAGGGAAAGGGGTCAGGGAAGTCGCGCCAACTTCCTGGGGCGTGGATTTTTATGGCTAGGAGGAACGAGCAACAGCGGGGTGCTCTGATTGACTCCAAGGGAGAGGGATTGAAACGGGGCGGGCCGCTATTGGTTGGCTGGTTGTTGGGCGGGTTTTCCGGTGGGAGAGCTGGCCAGGAGCCTTGCATCAGCTGGAGCCTTCCAGGGGAGCCATGTGGCAGCTAGGTGCCAAGTGCAGAGCCTGGTGCCAGGTGCAGAGGTGGGTGTGTCCAACCTCCCAGGGAGGCAACCGGCCTTACACTTATACTCTTCTTTTTAATTTACCTCTTAATTTGGAACTGTTTTCAGTGAGCCACACGATTATCTAAAGATCTTACTTTTACTTAAGAGCCCAAAATGTGAGATCTGTTTCATTCAAGGGTTAAAGAGGTGTTAATGTTCCCCAACAAATGTCCGACTTCTCTGCAAAGTGAATGACCCTGTGCTTTGTGTGAAGGGGACGCTCAGCAGCGCCTGGGGCAGTCCAGGCTGATCACCGAGGAAGCCAACAGGACCACGATGGAGGTGCAACAGGCCACCGCTCCCATGGCCAACAATCTAACCAACTGGTCGCAGAATCTTCAAAATTTTGACTCTTCTGCTTACAACACTGCAGTGGACTCTGCTAGAGATGCAGGTATTACTTAGAAATTTTACAATTTGAATCTAATGAAGGAATTGGCCATTAAACTCTATACAACTTTTGTCAAAAACAGTTTTCCTCATTTGGGTTTTGGATTTGAAAATTGTAGAAGTTAGCTTAGAAAAAGAAACGGTTTTGCACTGTTCATCTATGTATCTATACCTGTGTGTATACATATGAAAAACATATATATTTCACATAAACACTAGATGCGTTGGTAAAGAGTCATAATTTTTTCTATGTGAAATAATGGTAGCAATTGTAACAATGTAAGACTTATTCTTTAGGGAACAAAGTTAATGAAATGTTGGGTAAATAATCTTAACAAAATACTGTTTAGCTTTTAGGGAAAAAAAGTACTAAATAGCATTGCTTTTACTAAGCAACATTGCTTTTTCTTTATCTGAGTAAAGCAGGTTATTACCAACAAATACTGAATACAGCCAAACGTAACTCCAGCTTTCTATTAAGAATAGTATGCTGGTCAACTTGAATATACAGTTCTATAGAAATGAAAATGAAATATTTTCATGTCTACCTAATTTATTTTGTAGATATTAGAACCACGTAATACTCGTAAAGTTTCCCTTTTTCCATTCTCACATTTTTATCCAATCCTATCATAACCTCTTAAATAACAATGTCTATCAATATCATGACAAATCATGACTAGAACTTTTTGTTCTCCAGTATGGTTTTGCATACAATATTACTTTCACTTGTAACTGAATTAAGAAAAGTCATAAATCCATATATGACCTGTCACTGGAAATTTTATTCCAACTTACAAATACCCATTCCCATAACAGTAAAATAGCTCTTTTGTAATGATCTTTTAAGTATACATTTATTTCTTCCAAGTAACCAGTCATGTAAGTGCTTTTAAAATTTTGTCTTTAAAACATTTGTCTACATAATATTCAACTCTTACATTTATAATGATATTGCCTCAGGAATATGTACTAAATCTGTGTTACATTTTTGTTTCCATTTTTTAACAGCCTTACCAAGTGATTCCAGCAAGCATCCAGAACTAGTGCTAATGGAAATTGTTTACTGTGCTTTTCTCAAATAGCATTAGTGGTTCAAAACAAAGTAAATGAAAGAGGATACCATAATGAAGAAACTTTATAAAGACTCTAATATACAGTGGCCTCCTTTTTCTGAGAGAATTCATTGTAGGGAGCGGGGGGACTCTGTCTTATACACATTTCCATAATCACTATCTAACAATTCATTAAGTATATTATCTCTAGTTTTTAAAGACTAGTATACTATAAAATAGGTGTTGTCAGTGATCCAAACAACACATATTTACCTCTGTATTAATCAATATAATAAACTGATGGTTGCTATTATTTTACTTAATTCTATTCCTTGTGCTAGAGAAACATTGTATGTCCTAAGTACAGAGAAGGGATGTTTCCTTGATCTGCACTGACATAGTATCCTGAATCTGAGTTTAGCTTTTCTCTAGAAAGAGGCTTGCTCTTGCCCAGCTACTAATGCTTAATGACCATGGCCCTGCCCTTAGATAAGAGAATACCTAAAAAGTATTCCATCTCTAGACCAATGCTACTGAAATGTTAGTGTGCATGAGAATCACCTGGAGGGCTTGTTAAACACAGACTGCTGGATCCCACTCCTGGAATTGCTGATTCAGTGGGCTTGGGACAGGGCCAAAGAGCTTGCATTTCTGATAAGTCCCTGGTGATGCTGATGTTGCTTGTCTGGGAACCACACTTTTAAGAATCACTGTTCAGTCAATGAAACTCTAGAAAAAGTTATGCCATTCTCTTTGTTTTGAGTTTCTCTCGTCAAGCTGTATCCTTATGACTTGTGCTTTCTTTTTTTCTTGAGACAGTCTAGCTCTGTCACCCAGGCTGGAAAGCAGTGGCACAATCTCAGCTCACTGCAACCTCTGCCTCTTGGGTTCAAGGGATTATCCCGCCTCAACCTCCCGAGTAGCTGGGATTACAGGCGCGTACCACCATGCCCGACTAATTTTTGTATTTTTAGTAGAGACAGGGTTTTGCCATGTTGGCCAGGCTGGTCTCAACCTCCTGACCTCAGGTGATTCACCCACCTTGGCCTCCCAAAGTGCTGGGATTACAGGCATGAGCCACCATGCCTGGCTGACTTGAGTTCTTTTCTATGTCTAAGTTATGCATTCAAAGAAAAGGACATGAGAAGTAGGTGAGTGGCAAGCCTTGTGGGGCACAGATGCACTAGACTGAGTCAAGGGGAGTGTGCATCTCCCCCTCCAGCCACTTCCTCTTTTGCTGCTTTCCTCAACCCGCAACACCCAGATGTTGTTTTGTTCTCCAGCAAGATGCGCAAGAATAAAAAGAAATAAAAGGTCACTATGATCTGCTTGTAGCATCATCCTGGTCTGCACCCACAGACCATAGCCGCCCACCCCTACCTTGGCACAATTGCCACTTTTCTGAGTGCTACCTGCTTCCTTCTAGTACTGTCTTCTGGGACTGTGGCAGCAGGATGATGTGTGCGTGGACATTCTGGAAAACAACCTTCCCACCTTTTTTGCCAGTATTCCTCTTAACCAGTTCTATCAGTTATATTAGAAATGCAAGAAGAACCTGTGCTATATGGTTAAAGGAACATTTGTGTATATACCGTGGACCCTGCCCTTTAGAAAAAGCCTGCTCCACATACAACTTTTAGATCCATAAGTACTATAAATGTCATAAAAATAGAAACGAATTGTGCTTTGAACTTTGTTAAGTCCACAACTGTGCCAGGCGTCACACATGGGGTCAGGTTTGAGCCCATGCTGAGGTCTGAGAGGAGGAGGTGGGTGGCAGATAGCTGGAAGAACACTTTGGGGGATGTAGACAGGTGAAATGTAGTTTTATTCAGCAGCTCTCTCATCAGCAGCTTTCTCACACTGCTCTGTCTCAGCGGCTTGCTCCTGCTGCTCCCATGCCAGCTCTGCCTTACCTTCAGGGTCAGCAGCTTAACTATCTCCCTCTCCAAGCCAGTTCCTGGCTCCCCCTGCCTGCCTTCAAGGCAACTGCTCTCCCTTACAGGGGTCAGTAGCGTTACTCTCTCTTTGGGCACCAGCACACCCGAGCCATGTTGAGCCCTGGTTCTCCCTCTGTCCGTCTGCAAGACAGGCCACCTTGGCACTCTCTCTTCGGGCACAAGAGCACACGCTGTGTGCATGGCATCAGCAGGGCATTCAGCAGGGCAGTTATATGTTTTCAAACAAGAGTGGCTCTGTGCCAAGTATGAACTTACACAAACAGGTTCTATAACAAATGGAGTATGCACCTATGCCCTACACTCGCTGAGTCACTCTGGCCCAGACGTCCGCCTCGGCCTATTCTTTGACCAAAGCACATCCATGTACCTTACAGGTTTTACTATTAATTTTGCAGGATTAAAAACAATTTCTTATAGTTCTACCATATGTAATACATGTTTGTTGTCTACATCTGATTCATGAAATATACTTAATATTGAGATATTTACTCAAGTGATCAATTTTTATTAACTGCAGTAAGAAATCTGACAGAGGTTGTCCCTCAGCTCCTGGATCAGCTTCGTACGGTTGAGCAGAAGCGGCCTGCAAGCAACGTCTCTGCCAGCATCCAGAGGATTCGAGAGCTCATTGCTCAAACCAGAAGTGTTGCCAGCAAGGTAACTGATGAAAAGACTCATCAGTCACTTAGTGATAATCATAACACAAATTATCACATTCCAGAGCCTGGACCTTTCTACTGTGTTCTCCAACTCAGTAATTCTCAGCCCCATTTGCTAATTAGAAACACGTGAGGAACTTTGAAAATGAAATCTATTCCTGGTCCCAACCTGAAAGCAATATATTAGACTGCGGAGAAAGAGCTCCGTACTTGTATTTTCTTTAAAGCTCCCAGGTTATTCTAACGTATAGTCAGGTTTTAAAAACCACAGAGTTAAACTAGTCAATAAAGCTGATATAGCAAAAGACATCAAGTAAAGCATCAATAAAAGCCTCAATTCGTTCTTATATTTTATTTATTATTTTAACAGTTTCATTAGTGCAATGACCATAATGGAATAACCTCTCCCATCTGCCCTACCTCTTCAAGAAATTCACTGGTACAACACAAATTATGATGAAGATTTTACTGACCACCCACAGGGTTGGCTGAGCAATCACATACTGGCTAAGAGGAATAAACTCAACAAAGACATTGTTTTGAGACACATACAGAAGCAACCTAGCAGAAGACAACTAGAGTTGGCATTTGTAGGAACATCTCCTGACATAGCAATTAACTTTTCAGTATGTGGCAAAGTGGGCCTTGTTCTTTAACCTCTTGAATTTTTTTTTTTTTTTTTTGAGATGGAGTTTTGCTCTTGTTGCCCAGGCTGCAGCACAATGGCACCATCTCAGCTCACCACAACCTCTGCTTCTCAGGTTCAAGCGATTCTCTTTCCTCAGCCTCCTGAGTAGCTGGGATTACAGGCATGCACTGCCACGCCCAGCTAATTTTGTATTTTTAGTAGAAATGGGGGTTTCTCCATGTTGGTCAGGCTGGTCTCGAACTCCTAACCTCAGTTGGTCCTCCCATCTTGGCCTCCCAAAGTGCTGGGATTACAGGCGTGAGCCACCGCACCAGTCCTTGAATTTTTTTAATTGATTCATAGACCAGACTCCGTTTTTATGATCAAAGTATGTGGTTTTATTTCTCAATTAAGAATTAACCTGAGCAGACTACTGGTCCTAATTATTGAGAGAAAGAAGAGTTAAAAATAAACTATTTTGTAATGGAGAAGATTATTCTTGGTAAATAGACCTGACTTTTAAATGATAGATGATAAATGGTCCCTTATGATAAATTACCTTATTTTCAAAAAAGATTTAGCTAAAGGTACATCAAGAAATCGTATTCTAAAAGCTAGGTTTTTGTGAGTACTTTCTTATAATATTATTTATATAAAGAGTATGACTTTGGGACCTTAAGCACCTAAGACCATTTGCTAAAGACAGACTTAGCCCTACCTTTGGGAATTGGGTGCTTACTCAGTGCCCCGAAGTGAGATGCTTTTCATGAAGATAGGCACTATTCTCAGACTCTCAGTTATTAATGTAAGACTTTAATCCCCCACACTTCTTGTTTATTAAGATGTATTGGTCTTAGTCGGACACAGTGGCTCATGCTTGTAATCTCAGCACTTTGGGAGGCCAAGGCGGGCAGATCTCTTGAGTCCAGGAGTTTGAGACCAGCCTGGCCAACATGGCGAAACCTTGTCTCTACCAAAAATGCAAAAATTGGCTGGGCATGGTGGCATGCACCTGTAGTCCCAGCTTCTCAGGAGGCTGAGGCACAAGAATCACTTGAACCTAGGAGGTGGGGGTTACAGTGAGCTGAGATTGTGACACTGTATTCCAGCCTGGGTGACAGTGAGACTGTGTCTCAAAAAAAAAAAAAAAAAAAAAAAAAGATGTATTAGTCCTTCCTCAATTGGTAACATAGGACAGCTGCACTCCAGTCATCTGGCAATAGAGCTTTGAGCTCACTGAACACCAACATTAGCCAAATCAATATTAATAAATGAATGTAAAGATGTCTACTCAGTTGGAAAAATTCAGATAAATGACATAAGTATACACAATCCATCTGCTTCTAAATACTTTAAAAATTACCCCTGAATCAGTCCAGTTCAGCATATCACATTGGGCCTCTTAGAAATGCACTTACTGAATTGTGCTTTGTTGTGATGCCTTTCTGTGAGCCATTATAAGAGGCACCTTATGAACTCATTATCACAGTTATGATAATGATAGGGCCAGGTACTGGAAAGCACTTTATAGTAATCATTGTGTTTCATGCTCACACCAAATTTATTATCCTCATTTCACAGATGAGGAAACTGAAGGTTAAGTGACTTGCTCAAGGTTACATAGCTAGGAAGTGGCAGAGCCCACCTGGTCTGAGACTACAAAGCTAGTCCAGACCCCTTGCAACTGTACAGACAAGGGCAAGGATGTGGCTCCCAGCCTCACCGCATGCCCCTTTTATGAGGACCCTAGGGAGAAACTGTCAGCTGTATTAGGAACCAAGATTAATTCTATTCCTCCTAAACAGTTAGTTTTGTATAACTGTTATGAGCTTTGTGAACTGTATGCTTACCAGCCAACATGAGCAAGGTGTTTAGTTCACACAAACCAAATATATAGTTCATCGTGGAATTCATATTTATCCTCATTTTTGGATCTACTTAGTCACCACTTTTTCTTGCTTTCTGTCACCCCATTCTAAACTGTCATAATCTGCCCTAAGCCTCTCTCCAACAAGGGGAGGATGTGAGTAAATAACTAAAGATATGGAGGTGAGGAGAGCTCAGAAGCCCCTGTCACAAATGAGGGAAGAACAATGAGAACCATTCCTGCAAAGCACTTTTAATGAAACTGTTGTGTAACTCCAGATCCAAGTCTCCATGATGTTTGATGGCCAGTCAGCGGTGGAAGTGCACTCGAGAACCAGTATGGATGACTTAAAGGCCTTCACGTCTCTGAGCCTGTACATGAAACCTCCTGTAAAGCAGCCGGAGCTGACCGAGGCTGCAGATCAGTTTATCCTGTACCTCGGAAGCAAAAACGTAAGAACATGAATTTGAAAGGAGGGAATAATATTTACAAGCAAGCTGCTTCTTCTCTTGTCTAAAATAAAGCCACCTGGGCAAACAAGCCAAAACAATGCCCATTCTGGTAACTCAGAAGATCTCATTTTAATGGCAAGATTAAAAGAAAGACTTAAGGACAAGTAATTTCTTCTCCATGTGCGATATTGTGGGGATTGTTTTCTATCACCATCACACTACTAACTTTGATGAGTCTGAATGGAACACCTCAAGGACTTTGAGAAAAGCAGAAACCTATTCTGTTCGATGCCAAATCCTGTTTGGAGATACATAGTGATGGGTACTGTCAGGCTGTATTATATCCCTGGGTTAGCCTCACAAAATTAGCCTATTCCTGCAGCCAACAAATTTTCACAAGCTTGACCGAGCATAGGGCCAGCAGACTCTTATGTGACCACAGGAAGGTTGGAAAGGAAGAGCCACTGCCTGGTCTCACAGGAGCTTTGGGTTGTAATTCAGGCCAGAAGTCACTTGTGTATACAGCCAAGTATTTGGATTTCTGTTTGTCCTTTAAAGAAATGAAAATAAAAGTTGATGTTCATTCATATGAATTTTATTTAAAGTACTTCATACTTCTTGATCTTTCAGGCCAAAAAAGAATATATGGGTCTTGCAATCAAAAATGATAACCTGGTATACATCTATAATTTGGGAACTAAAGATGTGGAGATTCCCCTGGACTCCAAGCCCGTCAGTTCCTGGCCTGCTTACTTTAGCATTGTCAAGATTGAAAGGTACGGTGAATTCATGACATAGGGCATATATGCACATTTCACAAGAAAGCTTTTGAAGGCTTGCATGCACATGTGTGCCCACACACATGCACACACACAGTGCCTTCCTGTGGATGTTATGAGTAGCATTTTCTTCCCTTTATTCTTTCTCCCTTTTCTTCCATTATTCTTGTATTCTTTCCCAAACACATTAGTAAAAAAGAAAAAAGTCATTTCCAAGTCGCGATCTGATTAGATTTTACCTGGTCAATCCATGAATTAATTTCAAAATGAAATGCCTTTCTTCTCTTTCCCATTGATTGTGATATTTTATAAAAGCTTATTAATGTGACAGAATTAAATTACCAACTTTGTGATGAGGGAACACTAACATTTTGACATTTAAAAAGTATTTTCTACAAATTATCTAATAACGAGTGAAAATTCTTTATCTCAATAGGGTTGGAAAACATGGAAAGGTGTTTTTAACAGTCCCAAGTCTAAGTAGCACGGCAGAGGAAAAGTTCATTAAAAAGGGGGAATTTTCAGGAGATGACTCCCTGCTGGATCTGGACCCTGAGGACACAGTGTTTTATGTTGGTGGAGTGCCTTCCAACTTCAAGGTCAGCCATACAGCTGTATTTTTACCTATTACAAATCTACAGTGATTATTTTTATAAATCCATAAACCTACAGTGACTTGGGGGTTGCTGGTATCACTTTAACAGCTTGGTTTAGTGGGGAGTAGAATTCTGAACAAGAATCTATAAATCTGGTCTATGCTACTCATATTTGAATAATGTCAAATGCTTTCAAGTTATAACTAACTCCTGAAGATCATTTCATTCTGATACATGCATATATAATTAATATTATCCACACCTGCTGCAGGAATGTCCATAGCTTGTGGTGTCCCCACAGTTTAGACCTAGTCTTCAGCTTTGCAGTGGTGGCTTCAAAAATTCAGTTATCTCACCTAATACAGGTATGAAATAAAGTTACTGAGATGAGAGTGGGGGTAGGACCTAGGAGAGAGTATGAAATCTGATGAAGGGTAGATAAGGGATAGGTTGAAGAAGATGGGAAGTTGATCTAGGGTTCCAATTTCAGGACTATTATTACTAGTTATGGGCACATTACTGGAATTGCTCTGAGGATTATTTTCTCTCTCATCATATGAGACCAGGAATACCTACCTCACAAAGCGGGCATGAGGACTGATTTTTGTCATGAATTCTCTGTCCAGCCTATGACTCAAACATAATCTGCGCTCAGGAAATCCCACTTTTTCTGCTGATTTGCACAACTGACAAGTCACTGCATATCTAAATGATTTGGCATAAACACACTGGGGTCTAGAAAGATATTTCTAAGAAGGGGTAGGTCCCTTTGACCTACTATTAGTTTCATTGTCTGTTCTGTGACGTCTGAGTAAAACAT